GAGGAGAGGAGAGGAGAGGAGGAAATAACATCAGAAGCATCGGCTGCCCTTACCAATGAAATTCCTCCTTTCCTTCCTATCCTCACTCCATTCGAGGGGAAATTCGCACAGAGAGATCCAAGGGCCCACAAACTGACCTACACACCAGGATAAGTATCCTCCTTCTCCTTCTCCTGCTCCTGCTCCTGCTCCTGCTCCTGCTCCTGCTCCTTGTCCTGCTCCTTGTCCTGCTCCTTGTCCTGCTCCTTGTCCTGCTCCTTGTCCTGCTCCTGCTCCTGCTCGGATACAGTTTCTCCTTTGTTACCGCCTTTCATTTGTTGTTTCATCTCCTTCCTCACTTCTGTTTACCTGCTGGAGTTCTATGTTGCCAGGAAAAGCCTTCAAAGCCAAGTCACCATCAGAGTAGAAAAATCAGCTATCAGATCAGATCAGATCACATCAGATCAGATTTCATCAGATCACATCAGATCAGATCAGATCAGATCAGATCACATCACATCAGATCACATCACATCAGATCACATCAGATCAGATCAGATCAGATCAGATCAGATCAGATCAGATCAGATCAGATCAGATCAGATCAGATCAGATCAGATCAGATCAGATCAGATCAGATCAGATCAGATCAGATCAGATCAGATCAGATCAGATCAGATCAGATCAGATCAGATCAGATCAGATCAGATCACATCAGATCAGATCAGATCAGATCACATCACATCAGATCGCGTCATGTCGTGCCACGCAATGTCAAAGGCTGTGATTTACAACATTCTTACCTTCATTACTTCCAAAATCGCCTCAGGAGCGTTTGCTTCGCCTGCAATGTGCTAGAATATCTCTGTTAATATTTCTATGAGGCGCCAAATACATCAGGGCAATCAGCAAGTTTTGTTGGTACCCAAAACCAATTTCTCGTTAAATAAGGTGTTGTAATTTTCTGATGACATAATCTTTTCATCATCATCTCTATCTCCATCTCCATTATATCATGACAATCATGATCATCAACAAGAACAACAGGAACAACAAGTCTGCATCAACACCATCATCCCAACCCTCTCACCTTGTTCTCCATATGCACAACAACAATGCTTCCTGCGACATACCGCAACACGTCACATACCAAAGATCAAACCCACTGTATCAATACCGAGACACCAAGTCCCGACCTGCTGAACTTCTGCCAGGTCCTGACAACAGCGAGTGAGATCAGAACAGAAGTCATTTGGAGGCAATACAACAATGAGCAGGAGCATCAAACAATGCCATCAGGCAGGGAGGCTTGTGAAGTTACACGTGCAGTCTCTAGCGAACATGAAACATGAACTCACCTTAAAGTCCTGCATCGCCTGCACAATGACCGCGGGCGCTCCCTGCGCTCCGATGATCGACTTGGCTGCCAGACATCAACGTCATCATAAAACACGCACTCTCTGTCTTCGCTCACCTCTGTCGTTCTTCCCCATGTTGATCAGCGCCTTGAACCCTTGGATCTGTCCAAGACTTTCATCGCAACAGTCTTCCACCATTGCCAAGGACCCACCAGGACGTCGGGGTGCGCGGCAAATCTGTGCAAGGCAGCAATGGTCTCCTCCAGAGCTCGATGCTCGACAAAGAGAACCTACCGGATCTCAATGAGGCTGCTTACGAGAGAGGTTCGGGAGGAGGGAGGAGGGGAGGGAGGGGAGGAGGGGAAGGAGGGGAA